ATCCTTCATGATCTGGGAGTGCGAGAACTACGCGGCGGCGATCAAGATGTTGGAGGAGGATCCGTACTGGTCCGGCAATGTGGTGCGTAGCACACGGGTCCTGCTACCCTGCATGTTTTCATTTCTTTGGCGTCTGCGATCCGCAGTGGGACAAGGAGAAGACCGTCATCCGGCCGTGGGTCTCGCCGGTGCCTCTTTGAGACTATAAGACAACGTATATGTGACGAACATGCAGATGAAAAGCAGAATGTGTATGATACCATCGTAATGAAAGTAGTGTGGCCATCACCAGACCTCAAGACGCGCATATACCAGCGTTTCCTGGGCAGTGTTCATACGAGGATGCTCAGGCATGTCTTCCTCGTTTCATGCTCGACGACGAGTCATAAAGGTTCTAGCACTCTGGAAACGTCAAGAAAAGAGTACAAGCTGGCATAATAAGAGCAGGTGAGACTACAATATGTGAGCAGCACGAGTCCTACATGAGCAGAATCAAACACAATAAGACCACGACGAGTACGAACGAAGCGAATACAGTCAAGTCGTGGGTCAATCGAGGGGAAAATAACAGCAGAGCATAGCTATCACAGCGCGAGGGCGGCGCACAGCGCATCCTTCTCCATCCATCCGTACATCCAAAGATCCATTCTTCTCTCCGTCCCCGCTCGGAAGTCCGACTCGTCGGGGGGTCTAGGCATCCGTCGTCACCCCATCTTCCTCATCGCCTCCCCAAACCGCTCCAGGTGGAGGGTGCCGGAATACGTGCGCGGCCGCGGGTCCGAAACCAAGCTCGTTCGCGAGCGCCCCGAAGGCGCCTGGTTCACCACATGCGAGACGCGTCGCGTAGGCGCTCGCTCGGCGGTCAGCGGTGGGTTCACCATGGAAGCCAGGTTCCTCGTCGTGCGTCATGTCGTTATCGCGGAGCGTGTGGGGGTGTCCGTACAGCGGTGCGTGGAGGTGCGCGGAGAGGGTCGCATCGTCCGTAGCCCAACTCCATGGGCTGGCGGATGGGTCGATGTCGTAGTGGTCCACGGCGATGTCGGGGTCCACAGGGTAGACGACAAGCTCAAGCTGGTCGCATGCTGGCGGAAGCCGAGTGCACACGCTTGATCCATAGATCTCGTCGTAAGATCCCCAGGACTGCTCGAACCGAAAGGGAACAAAGAAGCCGTCGTGTAAGCAGCGCTCGCGCGATCTACCAGATCGTGACGCACCTCGGGAGATTGCAGCCCTGCCGCGGCGCGCGCCTGACCTTCTTCGCGCTGCGTCTTCTCCAACTGTTCGCCCGCGCCGCGAAGTGCGGCCCTAATGTTGGCTGGTGTATCAACCCATACGAGGCGCAAGACCTGGGCAAGTGACATGTCGCGAGGCTCCGATGCGGCTCGCGCCTCGTTCGTGGGCGTGTTCATGATGGTGGGGTATCGCAGGAGAGATTGAGAGAGGATGCGGCGATCTAGAGAGGTCGTGGCGAGCTTTTGCCTGGCTCCTGGCTGCGTCCCAGCCGGCTATCCGCTGGGACGAGGACAAAGGAGCGTCGGCACTGGCCGAGACGCTTAACGGGATGGCATGGCTTTGGCGCCCAAAGTTGAACCAGCTTCAGACGCTCAGCGGCCCGGGGTTGCTCCGAGGCATTCGCATTACGTCACCGCCGAGGGACGGCCTGTGCGGTAGATAATTGACATCTGAATCCTCTATTCTGTGTTCCCGGACATCGTTTCAGACAATACAGGGGAGATATGAATTAAATCGTATTATAATAAACAAAAGACAGCGACGATCAGAACGTTTTTCAGGAAACACCATAAAAGAGCCAAGTTCATCGTCGCGAAAACCATCAGTCACTTCCCTGATAGTCCATTCCCGCATCCACATGCCTCACAACACATCGCAACGCTCGACACATGGAGAGGAAATGTTCCCTAGTGGTGAGGGACTCCATCGCGGAACAGAAAACCTCGAAAGTGTTCACGGTAAGTATTTGACCCATTCCACAAGACAAAAATCACTAAACCTACTGGTGAAGCTGGACTAGAGAAGCTTGTACAGCCCCGCACACTCCGACTGGAATCAGTTACCTTGAATTCAGCGCATGGATCTTGTCAAGTAACCATTGAGCGAGTTCAGGATCCCCACACTGCTGAGGTGGGAGAGGATTTCGAAAGTTCGACATCTCCTCTCCGACCAGAAAACGACAAACACGAAATACCCTATCTTGATCCCTCTTCGTCCTCTTCTTACAACCCCCAACTCGAAGATGATTGGCATAACTCGACGTCAACACATTACACGTCAACACCAACGATGAGCTCCCACGGGGAGCCCCCTCAATATCACCATGATCATCCCCACCCCGGCCGACTACCCTTGACGGATGTCCATCATGAGGAAAAAAAGAGCAGGGACAAGATTCAGATAAAGAGAAGGGGCCAACATTCCTATGCCTACCGTGTTGGTGGATCTAAGCCGGAGCTGCAATATGAGGAGCACATTCCCCGCCCTCTTTGCACAGAGAGGATCAAAGCAAGACGAACCCCAAGGGCTAACGGCGAAGAAGGAAAATATTATCTAGTGGAAAAGTATAGCAAACATCAAACGCAGGAACGGATGCTGTTTGGTCTGGGGTCAGAGGGTGGCCGTGTTCCTGGAGCATGCATGTGTTCATAAATCACAGCCGGACCGCTAGGTGTAATTCTCGACAGATTCCTTTCAATAGGAGAGAAGTATCCGAAGGCTTGTTCACCAATGCGCACGGCTATTCGCTCCGCCAATAGAGGCAGCGATAGAAAGTATATCCCTTAAGCACATCTACTTAGGGAGTGGGGTGGCGAGCGCGAGAGGCATGATGACCAGTTTCTCCTTGTCCCACTGGCACATATGTTAGCCACACATTGCGCGCAAGGGGCACGGTAGAATATGCGCACCACACCGCTCGTATAATACACGTCGCTCTCCATGAGCTCCCGGACCGCCTGCAAGCTCTCCGCCTCGCACACGAACACAGACCCAACCATTTTCTTGTCCGCCGTCGGAGACGCAATGGACTCCGGCGTGAGCATCGCCCCCGCCAGCTCTGCAGATTCGTCACGGTGCGTATAGGGGTGTGGCAACGAGGGAGACTATCGGTGGAGACTCACTGAAGACCCCGGTCTTGATCTGCTCACCCGCGGCTGAGAGGTGCGCGGGACGAACGCTCAGGCGTCGCGCAAATGCGCCCTCGTCGGTCATATCTGGAGCGTAGACGATGAAGTGGTGGCGAACAGACGCGATGGAAGACCGTGTGCGCGTCTGGGGGAGGCAGGGTCGACGTAGGGACGCAGAACGAGAGAGGATGCGTTGCATGGCTGTCTGTGTGTCAGCTGAGGGTCCGTCAGGACGTCGTGGACAGGCAAGAGAGCGTTGGAGTAGAGCAAGTGATCGGATTAGCGAGGTCCTGAACGTCGTCGAACGCGAAGGCAAGGATTGTGAGCAAAGCCGGGTCGTTAGCAAGGGGTGTTTGGGGTACCGAAAGGAGTGCCAGAGGTTTCGGGGGTGCGACGTCAGCAATATGACATGGCCGCCTATCTTATCTTCCCTGGCAGCTGGCACCGGAAGGCCAATCGACTTTGGGTGCGTCTGGCCCACATCAGCTCTCGCCGCGATCATGCCTCTCTTCGCCGTCTACGCTCCCGACTACACTGACGAAGACGCTATTAATCGTCGCCTCGCTGTGCGCGAGACGCATCTCGCTCGTTCGAAGGCGAACCCTGGCCGCAGTGCGTTCTCTTGACATCAGTACTTCCCAAGATCCCTGAATCTCTCAGATCTCTGGCTCATCTTGCGGGAGAGGTTTCAGATCAGTGAGAGGTGGGCAGATGGCTCAGACAAATCTCAGGGAATGCAGATGACCGAGATTGACACACAACGAGTAGAGGTTATCTTGCTTCAAAGGCGAGAATGAGATATATTATAACGAAGTTGTACTACGGACAGCAGCGCGCGTCAGCGAACCCCGAACCCGCGCGACTCCGAATCACGCGCGACCGTGAGACGAACGCACCACGCACTTGCGCAGCGTGAACAACGGCGGGCAGTCAAACATAAACGGACATGCAAACGCCGCGCGTTGCACCCACAGTCGTCCGCGTGCGGCTTGGAGTCCAGCCCGTCGGTCGAGCTGGGACGGCGGGCTTGTGCACGCAGACACAGGCGAGGCGGGTAAGAGAGGGGCAGGTGACACGAGCACAACGAGGGAGCCAGTGAGCCTCAAGTTGGGTGACGCGGGCAACGCACGGGCGGCGCGTGGGCGAGGCAGGCGAGGCAAGCGACGTGGCGACGTGGGCGAAATGGCGATCTGAAAGATGCGAGCTCGACGTGGCTGATGTGGGCACAACGTGGCTAATAAGGACGAGAGAGCTGAGTCCTGGTCGTCAGTCTCGCGCTCAGTGCGATGCAGAGCGAAGAGGTGCCCACCGTGTAGCACTGCTCATCCTCCCGCAAGGCGAAGTACCTCGAGTCGAGCACGCACGGGGCGTCGTGGTGCGAGCTGCTGTTCCCGTGGTTCAGTGGTAGGTCAGGCTCGGCAAGGCCAAGGAAGACAAGGACGGTCACGAAGGCGCTGATGTGCGGTGCGAGCACAGGGGTTCGTGTCGCATCAGTCTTGCAAGACTGATGTTTTCCGTGAGCAGGCAGAGGTGGGACCGCGGAGCGGGGAGACGACGTACGTAGGTGATCCTGATCATCAATGGAATGCTTGGACGAGGCGCAACATTTGCAGGGAGCAGACTGAACGGTAGAGCGGGGGACGAGACCGATAACGGTGGCCACGCGTGGGTGCAGCGATGTTCGTCGCGGAGTACGTCGCGGAGTGGTCCCCGAGCGCAATGAGGAGCTTGCAGAGCGGGGGAGAGATGCCGTCGAAAGAGCGCGCTGACAGGCCCCTCGAGCTGGCGACGGAGCTCCTTCTCCTGCTCGAGCTGGGGAAGCGGATCAGTGGTGGGGAGATCACGACAACCTGCTCCGGGTTACGCTAGCGAGGTAAGCAAGGCGGCAACACAGGTGAGGGTGCCCTCTGCGAGCTTGAAGTCATAGTTGATGAGGATGTACGCAATCAAGACCTTGAGCTCGTTCGACGCAAAGAAGCGTCCGGGATTACGTATCTGTCCCATCGAGTCAGCTTCCGCAAAATCGGCACACGACAAGAAAGAAGCGCACCACATGTGCCTTCCGTGCCCGAAAGGGATGCACTCTCACCGGAACGAGTCGAACGACACCGCCCCGGATAGGATGCCGTCGTCAAAGTGCGTGCCAATAGATGAAGTGGCGAGGTTCTTGCCCTTGGGGATGAAGGCGCCATCGGCGAGCGTGATGTCGTTCAGCACGAGGCAGGTGAGGGAGACTGCACAACGTGTGAGCACAATGATGGCAGGGAGGATCCAAGGGGCGCTCACCGACGCTGATGCCATTCACGCGCTGGGACTCGCGGAAGGTACTGTCAAACTTCCACATCTCCGTGATCGCGTTTTTCGTCCAGCTCCCCTCGGTGATGATGGGCTCGATCTCGGCCCGGAGGGTCTTGACCCACACAGGCTCGGTTGCGAGGTAGTAGAGCACGTGGGTGCCCGTCTACGAGAGGAACACAGGATCAGTGAACATCTGGAGACAAGGAGACAGATGAAGCACGTACGTTGGAAGATGTGCAATGCGGGCAAGGGCGAGGAGGGCGACATCGTGTGAGGTAGACAAGCATGAGGGCGTGTGTAATTACAGGCTAGAGATGGCAGCAGGGAGGATGGAAGACATAGTGTGGTGGGGAGGACGAGGACGAGGAGGACGAGGAGGACGAAGTGCGATGCGTGCTGGCAGCGCCTAGCGTGCGAATCTCGGCCTCTGCTCAGGGGAACCCTGCCAGCGCACCTCTTGTCCTCCACCTCCTGGTCCACCTCCACCCTGCCCTCGCCCTTGCCCTCGCTATGGCCACGCTCCGTGCGCGAAGAGCTGGAGCCTTCTCCACGGTTTGCTCGTCATTTCGAAGGGTGCGTAATCGTCTTATTTGATCGCGCTGGGTGCTGACAAGGGGCGTATGAAATCCCCTACACCAGCTCCGCGCCGCTCCCACTCAGCCTGCCCGTCCGGGTGAGTCTGTCCCTCTTCCATTACTTCTCCACGCTCGATTTCTGCGATCCATGTCCTACCAGTCCCTATAACGGTGCGCTCGCCGTCTTCCTCTGCCCATGTCGCGTACTAATGCAGCGTCCTCATCTCCACTTCAGGCCGCTTCTAGATGTTGGACGGAGGCACCACGTCACCCTCCGCTTCCGCGAGCTCGACCACGACGCGCGCCGCCAGGTCTGGGCTGCGTTTCCCCATCGTGTGGGCCCCGCGCCACGGCGGTCGCAGGGACGTTGGACGATCATCGAGGGCACACGAGGTCATCCCACCCAGTGCGCATGCCAGTGGCTTCGTGGATGCGCTCTTCGTGCCCTCAGCGGTGGCGCACAACACCGAGGCCTCAGGCGCGGTCCTGTGCACTGTATGACGAGTGCACGTGATACCCGCCCGCTGTACGGTCGAGCTGCGCCAACGATTCCGACCCTGTGGTGGTTTTCATCACCTGCGTCATCAGGTTCGACCATGACCTACGCCGATTGGCCGCCTCCCGTAGCACTTTGATACTTGACGCTGTCCACATTTGCTTCGATAGTACCACTCTAATATATGATTGGCTTGAGTACGCTCATGATATATCACTTGTGTGCCCCGAGTGTGTAGTAACTACTAACTGCAACAGTGCAAGCAAAGTAGTTCTGGTCTTGGACTTCTGGTTTTTCTGATCTGTCTGAGATCTCTCACACAACATCTCACCAAAAATCGAAAGTGAGAGAAATTCTGAATGTCTCAAAACATCTCACAACATCTCACACCTCTCCACAGAGGTTTTGAGAGATTTTGAGAGATTTTGAGAGATTTTGGGAAGTACTGATGCTTCTTCCATGGGGGCGTCACAAGCGAACGCCGACCCATAACTTTGTAACAGAGCTCGGCGGAGCCATGGTCACGCCCAACGACGCGCTCGACAAGCCTGACCAGCCGCGCAAGATGGTCGGTTCACTCATGGTCTGGGAGTGCACGAACTACGCCGAGGCCCTCGAACGTCTGCACGGGGACCCATATTGGATCAACAATGTGGTGCGTCCGGTGCGTACTAAGAAGGCGAGCGCTCACTCGTTCCCAGTGGGACAAGGAGAAGACACTCATCACCCCCTTCGTGTCCCCGGTCCCGATGTGACTGGAGGGTGTGCAATAGCTGAAGTCACATGTGAAGTGTTGCATTGTTACTTACATAATCACTCTTCGTGCCCGAGCACTGTAGTCTTCTCTGACGGTCCCCAAACACTGTATGTCTAAGTCGATCGCAGCGCCTTCAAGGTCGATGCGCTCTTGGAGCTCCCTCCTAAATGCGGTTAGGAGTGTTGGAAGCGCGCCGTCCCAATATAGTTCCCCGACGATTTCGATGTCTTTGACGTCGTAGTGGTTCTCTGGGCACGATCCCGTTCAAAAACTCTGGTCATTGGACGTACGGAAACTGGATAGGCCTCGACATAAGTTGTCCACGTCGTCATCAGAAGAGCGAAGGATCGTTATCTAGTATACTAAAGGTTTATAAGGAGGGCGACCACATAGCACCTGTGTATCAGAACTCACGCGTAATTGTCGCCAGGAAGCTCGGCAACCGTCACTCCATGCTGAAGGCGTGGAAGTTTCGGAGGCGAAGGCCCTGCTTCTTCGTCCCATTGCTCCATCACCGCATCGTTCGTTCCTTGCTGCATGTCCTCCATCGTGCGCTTTGTCGTCGGAGCGGCTCTGGAGTTGTCGGTCGTTCTGAACATAACACGCTTGTCGGAGGCTTTCTTCAAGATATGGTACAGCTTTTCATTGAAGCCGACGCGCTGAAGCCCCAGCAGCTGTACCGAGAGGGATCCGTCGCGATAGAGGGTGTCTAGGAGGGGGATGTAGACCTTTCCCTTTGCTTTCTGGTTCACGTTCATCGCGTCGAATGTCCCTCTAGCGAGGGTGGTTGCAAATTGCTGCAGGCAGGCGGTAGTAAGAGTATGCACCAATCATCGGTCGTCAGAGCGATACTCACCTCGTTCGCATTCACCGATGTCATATGGCTCAATGAGACGGAGCGCGGGCCAGAGTGACATATGAAAGTCCCTGCGTAGCATACGCTCCCGTTGTGTAGGTAGAAGAGGTCCCGTTGTTGGCCCATCATTTGAGACCACCGAGAGTCGAGAGACCACTGTGTCTCTCCATTCGCGAACTTGGGGTTGTACTTGAGACATGGGTGGACGACGTACGCGTGCTGTGAGAGAGGCCCGCACCAGAACAGGTTTGGGCCGAAGAACGCGTACCCCCCGGCCACACTAAGGACCGATAAGCTGACGCGGTGAAGTATCACACGTTCTTGCCACTTACCATGCGTCTATCGCGGACTGTCATGGCGAATATCAGCTTAAGTAGTAGATGGTGTGCTTCAGTAGGTACTCACTTTTGGAAGCAGCGGGAGGTACGTGGAGTGGAAAAGAGCTTGGGCGGTCTTACCGCGTATGTCCGAACAAAATGCCCCCGGAAGTACCGACAAGAACGCGATGAATTCCTTGCACGCAACTTCAGGGGTGGAGAACCAGAGCCAAAAGGTATGGACACACCTCTGCTGTCTTGTCATTGGTCACATGCGGCTGACAAGTCACAAAATTGGCCAGCTGATCGCGCATTTTGTCCAAGATGGCAGTATTGCCGGCCGCAGAGGCTAGCAGCTGGGGTTTCAGCTCTTCGTATCGCGTCTTCCAGGTCTTGGCGTCTGCTTCATGGACCGCAGCAAGCGCGCACATATCCTGGACCTCCTGACGAAGTATCTCCAGATCGGACTGCAACTTCGCGACAGTCTTCATGACGTCTCAGGGCTAGATGATGAAGGACGGATGAAGATGAACTCACCGAGTCATCCCCAGCTATATGCTCTGATTTGTCCGGCTCCAATGCTTGTCGGACCTCGTGGAGTTCAGCTTGCAAGGAGGTATTTTCCTGTGTGGCTTCATCAGCACAAGTTCTCCCCAACAATGCCATCGGTGTTTGCATAAGATGCACTCACTTGCTTGAGTCGCTCTACTTCGTCCCGACTTGCTTTAAGCTGAGCATGGAGGAAGGTGACGAACTCCGAGGCCAGTACTGAGTCGGCACCGAGGTCACCCATCCCTACGCCCGGTATGTGTGCAAAGGAGAGGAGAGTAGGTGAGAGTGTGTGCCATGCTCGTGGATGAGGATAGAATTCGTATAACAGAGTTTGCCGCAGCACCAAGCGACCGACGCGGTCACGTGGGCTCAATCGCGCGACGGGTCGACGCGATTTGGACGCATCGACGGAAGGTCAAGCGCTTACGGAGGGAGGCGACGAAATCGCCGTCCTGCCGAGCCACGCTGCAGCTGATCAAGACAGTTTGGGAGAAGAAGGGAACCTAAGGCAGTAGATGCATGACGGATTGCGACGGAACGGCGAAATTGCGCTGACGACCAAATTGGAAGCACAGCTGTTGGAGACCTCTCCGAGAGCAGGGAATCAATCCTGTTGAGCGTGTAATTACATGCACGAGATAGACATCTGTGTCTCCAAGGTAATCTTGAAGGTTCCTTCTCATTAAAACGGCAAATATACGATTGCACCAGTGTTCAGTTCACGAACGCCTGGATGCCGGTGATGGCTTTGCCGAGGATAAGGGTATGAATGTCCTGTAGCATCATTAGCATATCACCGTCTCTTACAGGCGTGTGAAAGATGGAAGACTTACGTATGTTCCCTCGTAGGTGTTGACCACTTGGAGGTTCGCAACATGCCGCCCAACGTGGTACCTGTCATAGTGTGAGACAAGACGCAAAGTAATATATGAAGCTACTGACTCGTCCGCGCAGGCGTTGCCGCCAAGAATGTCGAGGACCCTGCGGGAGTGCTCCAGGGCCTTCCCACAGTTGTTACGCTTGATGAGAGAGATCATCTCAGGCGCAACCTTGCCCTCATCCTTCAGCTTTCCGACCTGGATAGTCTCGTCAACACCGTGACCATGCCAAACGGAGACAACGATCGCGCACCTGCCAGCTCGCAAGGAGGCCAAGCGCGACCTCAGTCTGCGCGTCCGCAAGCTTCTTCTGCACAAGCTGGAACGACGCGAGCGGCCTCTTGAACTGCATCCGCTCGAGCGCGTACTCGCGCGTGCGGTGCACGCAGTCCTCGAGCGCACCCATGGACCCCCAGGCGATCCCGAACCGCGCGCTGTTCAGGCAGCCAAACGGCGCGCCGAGGCCTTCTCCGTGGGGTAGCATCGCCTCCTTCGGCGCCTTGACTCCGTCCATGAAGATCGAGCCCGTGACCGAGCAGCGGAGCGCGAGTTTATGCTTGATGGGGGGTGCGGTGAGGCCGGGCATGCCCTTTTCGAGGATGAACCCGCGAATCTTGCTGTCCCACTTGCAGCGCGCCCAGATGATAAAGACGTCAGCGACAGGCGCGTTTGAGATCCAGGTCTTGGAGCCGTTGAGGACGTAGCCGC